TTTTTTTTTTTTTTTTTTTTTTTTTAACATCTCGGGAGCCTCTTATAGGAAGTGATATGAGCGTCCCCCAATAGTTGGCCCCTAGTGATAGATGGCTCTGATCTATTGGTGAGAAGCGGCACCTGCTGGAAATCGGGTCTAGCGCCCCACTTACAATACTGGATCCGGTCATATCAAACAGTCCTATCATGCGGAACAACATTGTTTGCCCTCTTCAGAGGGGATTAACTGTCCGCCTATTTATAGGCGAGGTTACATCATCCCTGTGACTCCAATTGCAACTGGCAAAACCTGTACAAAATTACCCAGACAATCCTTAAACCCCCTCCCAGCCTAAGGATGCCAGTGAAATTGAGGAAGCCATTTGTAGCCTTACCCTTTTTTTTTTTTTACCAAACCACAACTGAAGTCATTATGAATGGTGATAAGAGCAGCCATTCCTTTTTTTTTTTTTTTTTTTTTACAAGAAAACAACCCAAGATGATGCTAGGGGTGCTGATAGGAGCAGACACCACTAGCAGTCTCCGGAGGGCTCCATCTATTGATGGGGAGCAACACCTGCTGGAAAGCGGGTCCAGCGTCCCAGATCATTTGTAATCGAATGTTTGAACAGTTGTAAATGCGCAGGCACGCGGTGATGGGCAGCGTTGATTGCCATCGAGCGAGGGGATTGACTGCCCATCAAACCCTAGGGCCCTCACCTGCCTTATTCAACTACTATACTGATACAGTAAGAAGGGGAAAGAACCGGAGAAGGTTTGGTTTCTACTTCTGCAATTTTCTACCCAGTGTTGCCAGCGCATGTGTCCCCCCTATAACAGTAATTAACAAAACCCACTCAAGCCGAAAGAGCACCAATTCAAAGAGAGAAAACAAAATTACAGGAGGATGAAAGAGCAGCCAAAAGTCAGATTAGACACCTACTCTTCCACCCTCAACACGTGGCCGGGACCAAACAACATGTCCTAGGAGCAACCAACAAACCCTAGTGACATATGCAACAGCACCTCTTCCCCCCCCACCCCCGGCCCACCACATGGCAGATACTTGTGATCATTGTGATTGGTGTGCCCATCAAAATTCGTAATGGGCAAACGTCGATCGAAACAAGACAGGCGAAGATATGACAATATTAACTGTCGACAAAAACCAACTGGAATTCCTATCCCTACCCCACTCCTTCTCGCCACCACAATGCGCCTTTCCACACCCCCCATTCCATAAGCGGCAGCCAGAACAGAGAAGAGAAGGGGGCAAGAGGAGAAAAGAGTTGTCGCTCATCCCCCGGCACACTCACCACGTTATTGTTGATGTCGATTTCACCAGCCGCCCTATCGATGATTCGATCGTTGCTGTTACTATTGTAATTGTTGTTATTATTGTTGTTGTCGTAATCAATATTGTTGTTGTTGTTGTAACTGATGGTATCGCCGATCTCGCCAATGTCAAAATCACCGTTACCAAAATTGGTGGCCTCTGCGATACCGTTGTTGTTGTTGTTAACGTTGTTGCTGTTGTTGTTGTCATCGTTATTGTTGTTGTTGTTGTTGTTGTTGTTGCTGCCTCTTTCATCAACACACGACTGTGAGATCATACCGACAACAATGCTGCCGATGTCGTTGTTGTTGGTGTTGTCATGATTGATGATGCCGTCAAGCTCGTCAGAATCACTATCAAAAGGACCGGCAGCAGCAACAATGATATTGTCGTTGTCGCCAGAATCGCCATGAAAGGGACCGGTAGCTGCAGCAACGATATTGTCGGTGTTGTCGTTATTGTTGATGTTGTTGTTGTTGTTGTTGTTATTGTTGTTGTTGTTGTTGTTGTTGTTGTTGTTGTTGTTGTTGTTGTTTTTGTTGATGTCGATGCATGGACATCCTGCCACTTGCATAGGTGTTGCGGGTGATGATGGCGGATCGTCCTCCTCCTCCAGATCTAACCGAGCATACCAGTGCTTCATGGACACGGTGCACAGTGCTTGCCCCTCCTCAAAGACTGTGTAGCAGTGTCGCATCAAAGTCGTCGTCTGTCGATGGTCAATAAACCTTGCCAAATAAGAAGTTGGCCCCTCCTCTAGCTTCGTGATAATGTGCATAAGGTTCTGCATCATGCTCTGGTGTGTGAGATATGGCAGTGTGTTCCCCCCATCAGCCACCAGCCTCAGCTCATCCACTTTTTGTCGGAGAAGGTCATGACTCATTTGAAGAAACGAAACCCACTGGGCGGCGCCCTGAAGTAAAGCCTCAGTCGTGCCCATCGACATCGTTGACCATGTTGACCCCGTTGACCTTGTCGATGTCGTGGCAAAACCTCCCTTCCACATCGTTGTCTTCAGTACGCTAGCGTTACTGCGTCCTCCACATCCCATGGGGGGCTACCCACTTCAGCTAGCGAAAGTTGGCGCCGTGAACGCTCAAGTCGCGCGGCTATGGTCACTTGAAGCAGCAACCGCGAGGTTCGTGCGGTGCCTGTGATGAGCCGCCAACTCCCGGGTCGACCTCCTTTTTCCCGATGGATGGTGTCCTTTCCCGCCTACCCTCTTCCATCAACTCTACACCACCCGTCTCCTGATCACCATCGTCCCGCACTCCACCACTCGCTCCCTCGTCAATTCCTTCCTTCTCCATGTCCTTTTCTTTAGCGCGAACTGGCGGGAATACAATAACATAGAAGTCTATTGTATTATCTCGGGTACGATTCCCGCCTGCGAAAACTATGAAAACTTTCGCGCGGCCCTCCATCGCACCATCTCCACCTTCTATCCCGACTACCTCGCCTCGCTTCCCCATCAACACGAGTACCCCCGTTTCCCTTGCATCCACCGATCTATCCACTACACTCCCCTCCCCGCCCTCGGATATCCATCGCTTCATGCCCCTTCTTCCCCAAGATCCCCCACCCCCCCCTCCGTCCGTGATTAGATTGCCCTTCCCCGGAAACTTGTAGGATAGAGTCTAGGAATGCCACGAATGATGACTTCCACACTCTTATCTTACGGTACGTGGCACGTAGAGAACCCCGCGTCGTCGATCGATTAGAGAAGTCGACACGTGTCGAAGGATGGAGCAAGCAGGAGCTTGCTCAAGATTGGAACCCCTGGGCGTCACATATGTGGCAAACTATCTTCTTCAATCGCACGATTTCTTGCGCGAGGCTGATGCGGTAAAATGGAAGGGTTTTGATGGGCGACGGGCGTAAGCGGGGTTCGGTTGGGCAAATTGCATGGATACCCTCGCATCTTTTTGTTGCTTTTGTTGGAATTCGTAGGGCCAGCGCGGGAAAAGTCTTGCGACAACGATTGGATGGCTGCGCCATGACGGGCGCAAGAAATAACTGTACCATAACTTCTTTCTTGTTCTGCTGTAAGCATCAAGAATTTTGGGCACAATTAGCGCGCGGTAATTTTCATTTTTGAATTTCTAACTAATGACGAGCCCCCACGGGCTCTCGGAATTGTCTTTCTTTTCGGAATTTCCTTTTGCAATCAGGATTTAGACTAGGAATTTACGTACTCTGAATTTTGTCGCGCAACGTTCGCACCTTGTGGCGCGGGGAACTGGTTCGGATAGAAGCGGGCCTTTAATCTTGTGCAACTGTCGTTTTTGTTGGGCGCGATCGTAACTGTAATCCTTCTTATTTCTTAATTCTCCTTTGTTGCCCACCTTCCTTCTCCTTCTTCCTCGTCTTACATACTCCGTTCTAATTGGCCGAAGTGCTCGCATGACCTGATCGATGCGTGGAGAGTGGCTACGACCCCCACGCCGCGGCCTGGCCATGCAGACGTAGGCACTTCCGCTCTTCCCTTCTTGCCCATCTAAGCTTAATCCCGTACCTATCCCACAAGCATGCATGCTATAAATTTTGCAAGCGCGATTAGTTGTCTCTCTAAGAATTTCGAGGTTAGCGCGATCAGTAAGGGTCGGGTAACGAGCAAGTTTGGAACGTAAGTGAGCGTTAGGGTTGGGCGATCCGACGAGCTGGTGTCAGGTATGCGGGGTTGACATGCGGGGCCGCGACGGACTGTGGCGCACGGGCGAACCTGGCTTGCATGCTTGAACCAAGCGGGGTGACAACTCTGTGTGGGTACGCGGCGACGGACTGCCGGTATCGTGGGTATTGATGCGAGGCGACAGACAGCCCACAAGGAGAGAGAGAAAAAAAGAGAGAGGGAGCAGTGATGTGGGTGCGGGATGAGGCTTCTTTTTGTTGTTCTTTTCATCTTTCTTCTTTGTCCCTCTGTACAATTTTGAGTGTTGATATGGCCGATCCTTTTTATCGCGGCGCCTGTTGAACTTTGTTTGTATATTGTCTCGGATTTCCCTTGTTGTCTGCTCGATATGTATGCATGGGATGAATGTAGGATCCTTTCTGTTGGCAACCTGTTCGATCCGTGTTTACGATGCATGTTGTCTTGGACCAGTGTTCACTTGCATGGGCTATGCGGTCAGGCTTGATAGGGAATGCCCACTTTGGATGTTCGAAGCCTAATCGTCGATTGCGTTATATGTATGGCATGTAGTGATCGACAGGATACTTGCACTTATGGTTGAATGCGATCGACACATGGAACCACCCGGCTACTTCTTACGCGCACGAGTACGTACGTCCGCAATCGCGAAGTTGCCATGAACGCACTCGCCAACGTAAGTTAGCCTTAACCACGTGTAAAGATGTGGGGGAGGTGGCTTACTGAACATACATGGCTGCTTACGAAAGTTTGAGGGACCCGGAATATCGCGAGTACTGGGACGGCGAACAACTGAGTCAGCGCAAAAATTTAAGATACCCGTAATTCCCCTGCCTAACAGAAAACGACTGATTATGCCCAAGGGATTTTCGCCGCGCCATAACTAGCGATCCCAGGTGCCCTGACTACCCGGACACTTATAATACACAATACTTCATATCCCCCGGTTTCGTCGTCATTACCACCAATTTCCCTCCCTTTCATCTCCTCCTCCCATATCACCAACTCACAGTGGTACCGTGGAATTCCATAGCTCGCTATTGGCCTAACCCGCGGTGCGAGGGTTGTTGGTACCACTGGGCGCGCCGAGCTTCGGGAACTTTCTGACAAGCTCGGACCGAAGCTGAGCAGCGACCCGCCCCGGCTGAACCCGAGGCCTATTACGAGTGGCGCTGACAACCAGCCGAACCACACAACCGACCTGGGAGACGGAATCAGCGGTGATGGTGATTCCTTTGCGTATTCGACCGTAAAAATTAAAACCTATTGGCAGGGGATGCAAGAGTGTTTAGATCTATCGGTACGGTGGTAACAGCAAGCGCCCCGGATTTTACCCCGGGACGCACTGCGCATGCCATCTGCCTTATGCTGCACAACATCAGCCTCCCCTCTGAGTACATCCCCTTTTGCACTTGTACCCCTGGAACTTGTCACAGGAGATTTCAGTTCCAACCTGGGACTCCACCCCCATTTTCCAAAAATCCTTGGCACACCCCTTTTTCGCACTTCCGGGCCTCCATCCCACTCCGATCAGGAAGTCGCACTGGGCGTGAGGTTGGGCGTCACACTAGCTGGTAGGATGGGAATAGGGTACAGCAGCAGCGGAGATGGTGGCTCTCACTAAGTCTTGCCAGAGTGAGGTAAAGAGGACTGAGGGGGGGTTTCTGAGTCATTCTCTGAATTCTTGCCGATTTCTGAAGTTTGTCGTAGTAATTTCCTAAGGAGCCCCAATTTTTTCTTAGCCAAAGCCGGGTAATGGCCCGGTATCTCAACTTTCAAAATTCTATGTAAATTTCCATATGGGACGCTGCGACTGGTTCCCAGCACGTGCTGCTCCCCACGAATAGATTGGAGCCTTGTTCCCCCCCCCAAAAAAAATAAAAAAGAATCAGAAAAGAGTGCTGGGCGAACACCCTTGCCCTGAACTGGAATTGGACTGTGCTGCCCCTAAAACAGGGCAAATGACATTGTTCCAAACTGCAGACCCCCCAAACCACCCACCATCTGCTGTGGTCCTACTGCGGAGGTAGAACAGAGGTAATACTTGTGTGTCTGCTGTCCATGTTTGATTTGTTATTTCTCTTTTTTTCCCTATAGAATATCTAGTCCAATAGCAAGCAGATCCGCCGTGCCATCTGCCTGCTTTTTTTTTTTTTTTTTTTAAAGCTCGCGGGCCCAGTGCCCAAGGCTTATATTTCCAATCAATTTTGAGGCCGGGGTCCTCACAGTCTACCCGGAACGGCTGGGAGCATTACCCAGTTTCGCTTACAGGGTGGGACCACACCCTGCGAGGCAACATGCCTCAGGACTTCCATTCAAGCTTGAAACTCGGATCCAGAACGCTTAGACCTGCACGGTTGCCTAAGCCTGACTGACCGCCCCTAACCCGGGGCGGCGGAGCCATGCTCCAAAGGCTGTTGATGACGTTCTCACCTACCCCGCTTGCCCACAATCTACTGCCCTCCGAGCGCCCAGGTATCCATCTGCCTGCTTGTGCTTCTTTTTGTTTTTTTTTGTTTTTTTTTTACCATTTCTCGATTTTTCCGAGTGTCATTTTTGGGAAAAACAATAAATAAAAATTGCCAGTGTCAGCAGTGCGCAGGGGCCCATGCTAATCTTCTCTGTATCCCATCGTTCCCAATTTTAACGGCTGTCTGGAAGGACAAGTCTGCTTGTGCTTGAACCGCACAGCCCTTTTTTTGCCCCCCCAGTCACACGGAGGTAAATTTGTAGCACTGCCACTCATCACCGTTGGAAATCAGATCCTGTCTTTCCTCTGCAGTTTGTCAGACGGAGTATGCCTGAACACATGCACGTCCTGGGAAGGAAGCCTGTATCTGGCCGTTGCTAATCGTCCAGGTTCATTCTGACAAGGGCATCAGTGGACTTTCGCAGTTCTGGAGGCCCATCAGTGCCTCCAAGAGAGTCAGAAGCGAATTCGAAAATAAAAAGACAAAAAAAAAAAAACAAAAAAAAAAAAGACAAGAAAAAACGAGTTCAGAGGAGAATCAAGTCCGGAAAAAAAAGCAAAAATCGAGTTCGAAGCGAATTCCGCCCAGAAAGGGAAAGCGAGCCACGCAGTTCCCGTTACTGCTGCAGCCATGGGCAGAATGCAGCCGTTGGAATGTATCTTGTCGTGATGGGGACCAGGTGGATGGCTGTGTACGGGTAAGGCGCAGTCATTCTTCGCAGGAGTTGGAATGTATATGGTCGTGTTCAGCTCCCGGTGTATTTCTGTGCATAGGAATGTATCTGATCCATTCTGACTGAGAGATTGTGACAGAGAGATTCTGACAGGAGAGACATTCTGTCCCGTTTGAACCAACGCAGGGTAGGGTCCCACTTGCTCAGATTCTTCGCTATGGACGGTAGAAAATCAAGGAATGGACGGCCGAGCGTCCCAGAGGAGTTCGGCTAAATGGGGCCCTGGCCCCGGAAGCATGTGGGGTGTCTTCTACAGCTGGGGGGGGAAAGAAAAAGAGGCCTCGAAGACTACCCCACCGTTAGGGCTTTCGGGCGGAACACAGTCATCATTCCGCTAAAGATGCATTTGACCCGAAACTATAGTTGACGAGTCTGTGTGTCCCGGTGCAATGTTTGCGCTAAGATATCCGAGAACAAAGCGAGGGCAGCACGTGCTATGAAAACAAACGTCGTCCATAGTCGTGCTTAGAGTACATAGCACGAACGATAAAGCACGAGCTATCAGGATTGTGGCTATGCTCGTGCCAAGAAAAGAAAGCAGGGCGAGAATCCTGCTCTTCTTGGCCCATCCCCCCCCCAAAGGGCCCACTTCCCCGGGGGTAAGGCAAAAACCGTGGAAAAACCTGCGTGGAAAAGCTTTTTTTCTTTTTCCTTTTTCTTTTCTAGAGTAAGCACAGACCTTGGGCCTCACTCCACTACTCTATACTCTCGAAATTTCGAGAGTAAGGCCTCGCTCCACTCACTCTAGATAGGTG